CACTTGAAGAATAGAGGATGTTTGTTCATAACTCAGCAAAATGTTCTTTCAAACGTATATATGTTACTATGCAGAAGAAAAACTCTGCTTTAACCATCTTAATTTAAAGGAAACAAACACAGAAACAGCTTCTTTAACTTGTCAAATCTTGTTTTAACCCCTCCCTTTTTTTAGTAGTTTAATATACTACACTGTTTTTGTTTCTGCTATTTGAGTATTTCCAATTCCAAATGAGGTGTGTTGTTGATGAGTCACTTTCTGTGTTCCTTCTCAGATTTTCTATCCATGAGGTAAGTGAGATTTGTCTTGTGCACCAATATTGAGGTAATGTGTGCTAGTTCAATGTGGCTACGTCTACACTGGCCCCTTCTCCGAAAGGGGCATGCTAATTTTACAGGTCATAATAGGGAAATCCGCGGGGGATTTAAATATCCCCCGCGGCATTTAAATAAAAATGTCCGCCGCTTTTTTCCGGCTTTTAGAAAAGCCGGAAAAGAGCGTCTACACTGGCCCCGATCCTCCGGAAAAAAGCCCTTTTCCGGAGGATCTCTTAATCTCTTATTCCTACTTCGAAGTAGGAATAAGAGATCCTCCGGAAAAGGGCTTTTTTCCGGAGGATCGGGGCCAGTGTAGACGCTCTTTTCCGGCTTTTCTAAAAGCCGGAAAAAAGCGGCGGACATTTTTATTTAAATGCCGCGGGGGATATTTAAATCCCCCGCGGATTTCCCTATTACGACCTGTAAAATTAGCATGCCCCTTTCGGAGAAGGGGCCAGTGTAGACGTAGCCTGTATGTCACCGTGGTACCTAAGTTATAAACCTCTCCCTTTTCCCCTCTGCTGCCATGTTTCCCACCTTCCCCTTGCCCCTTCTGCTCACCTGGTGCCTGCTGCTGCCCTCCTACCTGTCATCCTCTGCTGTCCTGGCTCCTGCCCTCACTCCCTTCAGCCTTCCTGGGACCTGGCCCCCTCCTCTGCACCAGCCCTTCTCTTCCCCCTGTGTCCACTCCTCCTCTAGCCCCACTCTGATTTGTAGCTACCCCTCCCCTCTCCTAACACCTTCCTCTACCTACCTACCCTGTCTCACTTCTCTGCCCTCTGGTGCCTGTCCCTCTCTTTCATGCCCATCACCATGTCTGCTCTTCTGTTTCACCCCCACATTCCCCCTGGCACCTTCAATTTCCCTTACTCCCTACACCCTCCTGGGGCTTCCCACTTCCATCACTGCCCCTGCCTTCCCAACACCTGGCCCCCTTGTCCTCTTCCTCCCTGATGCCTACCTCCTCACAACCCTCTACCCTAATTCTCATGCCCCTCTTCACCCTCACACATGACGTGTTCCATCCCCTGCCTTCCTCATGCCCACGCCTCTTCTCCTCTCTCCTCTTCCTTCCTTTTGTGCCCCTCTCATTTCCCAGCATCACCCTGTTCCCTCCCCTCTCCTACCCCCGCTGACACCTTCCCATTTCCCCCCACCCCTGCTCCTCCTGCCTTTTCCCCTCATTGTCTCCTCGTGGCCCCCTGGCATTTGTCTCTCCACCCTGCCCCTTGGTGCCTTCCCCATCTCCTGCTCTGGCCCCCTCCTCTTCCCTCAGTACAAGCCCCTTTCTCTCCTCACTCCCACCTTCTGCTTAGTTCTCTCCCTGCCTCTTCCCTCCCCTTCTGCCTTCCTGATACCTGCATCTGCTGGGCGGGGCAGAATGGTGGGTGGCTGCCCTGTGTGGTGGGACTGGAGCCAGGGCTGTGGTGCTATTTTTAGTACTGTGGCCCCAGCCCAGAAAAAACTGCACCAGGGCCCGACTCCAGTTCCTGCACACAGGGGAGCTGCCTGTGGCATGACTCAGCCCCAGGACAGCTGAGGGTGCAACCACAGTACTAAAAATAGCACTGCAGACCCGGCACATGAGGCAGCACACTCTGTACCGCGGTCCTAGCCCCAACAACTACGGCCCCAGCTCCTCTGAGGGGCTGGGCCACACAGCAGGCAGCTGCCCTGTGTGCCGCGATTGGGCCTGGCCATGGTGCTATCTTTAGTACCTCAGCCCAGGCTCCAGCTGTGGTAGCTGCCACACAGGCCACATGGTGGCTGCCCAGCTGCTCATGGGTGGGCAGTCATCCACCATTTGGCCCTGCCCCTGGGAGCAATTGGGGCCACATTTGTGCAGCTTGGTTGAGGGCGTGGGCAGGAATGAAATTCTTGGTGTGCACCCATACAGGTGTGCACCTTACAGGGAACCCTGGTTACTTTATAATTCTTGTGTTTCCAGCTCTGAGGTTTCCTCCTGAACTGATCCACTTTACTGTGAGCCTTATTCGGATCTCACTGTAACACTCTGTAACACCACTGACTAATGGAATTCCTCCTGATTTATTCTAGTGTAAACTGGAGGAGAATCAGGCTGTATGTGAACAAGACCCATTTCCTGTGCTGCAGTGAAACTACCTCTTGAGTAGAACATTAGAAACACTACATGACACTTTAGGACAAACTATGAAGCACAACATCCCAACTTATGTGGGGGAATTTCAAGAAATAATAATTGGGTCCCCCACCTGCAATATATGAACACTTTCTAGCTGAATTTTACAGTTTTTTTGGACCTACAGGTACTGTCACAGATCTGATTATGTAAAGTTCAGCATGAGAACTTTACACAGGTTTCATGTTCTAAAGCTGAACTATAGAGTTCTACCATTGTTTATACTACTACTAATATATTGCTTTCTATCAGTACCACCGCACCTCAAAGAAGTTGCTTTTGCCACAGGGGCCACATGACCACACAGGTGGATTTCAGTCATCTGAATTGCAGTGACTGGAGTACAAGAACCCATAGCAAGTAAACCTCAACCTGCTTTACAAAGGAATGTATCCTATTGAGGAAGCCAAGAACTAGAGACTTTGTGACTGTCCATGGTCACACTACATATTAGAGAGCTGGGAATTTAGATGTCTAGTTCAGAGAGAGCAGAGGTTTCAGCATATAATTCCGTTTGTACATAGCCTCCTGGCTGTCTGCACTGGTGTGTTCTTGTGCATGAACATTTTGCGCAAGGGTTCTTGTTCAAGAACTCTTGTGCAAGAAAACATCCACACTGCCATGTGCTTTTGCACAAGAGCATCCATGGCAGTGTGGATGCTCTCTTGTGCAAGAAAGCTCTGAAGCCCATTTTAGCCATAGGGCTTTCTTGTGTAAGAAACCCCTGCCATGCATCCACACTGGCCTCTTGCGCAAGAGGGCTTACATTTGTTAGAAAAGAGCATAGCTCTTTCGTGAGAAGCCCTGTCTTCTGACAGACTGTAAATTCTCTTGCGCAAGAGCAGGCCCAGCCATGTCGACTCTCGGCTGGTTCTTGTGCAAGATCCGGCCAGTTAAACATAGCCCAGGACTCCTATGTGCCAGAAGTGAATCACCAGGATCTCATCTTTATACCGAAGTGAAGCAGGGCTCCAGCGATTGTTAACCATGGCACCATGGGGCTCAGCGACTCCAGTGCCAGTCTGTTCAGTGTATGAGTGAAAAGCAGTGGGTTTGTAACTGGCACATGGTGAAACCCAAGGAGGAACGTGAGAGTTGAGCGGGGCTCTTCCCTACTCTCCCCATTGTGGCTGCCA